GAGGCACTGGCTGAAGGCCTTTTCTCTTGCGTCATCGTTCGAAGTTTTCAAGTCTTGATGAGTGCCTATTGGCCTCCCCCCCCATCGGTGGCTTTGAGAGTGATCGGCGTTCTTGGCGACGTACACGTACTTGGTGCCACGTGAATGAGTCCGCCGCGCTTCCGCCTCTCCTGCGCTCTGTTTCTGCCCTGTTGTCTTCGCTCGCGTTTGTTAGGTCGCGGGCCGTTTGTTTCGCTCGCGCCACCTGGCTCCGCTCTCTTTCTTGCGGATGCCGGTCGGTGCTCCACCTGGGGGTCCGGCTTGTGTTCTGTGGTTGCCCACCTGTGGCCGCCTCTCTTCCGGTGGCATCCGCCCAGCGGTTTTTTGCTTGGGTATGCGTGTTCTCTTCTGGCCGGTTACCGGTCCGGTTCCCACTTGCGGGTCCGGCCTGTGTTCGTTGGTTGCCCAATTGTGGCCGCCTCTCTTCCTAATTTGTTTTGCAGGTGCATTCCGCGCGTTCTCGCGCTAATTATCTTTCGCTGTGCCCCAGCCTCGGTCATACCGCCCTGTGGATTTTTCCTTGCGGGCCGCTAATAAAAAAAAGTATCCCCACCAGCTCTGGGTTCGGCCGCTGTGCTTTTAGGATTGCGCGTTGTTAATTTGACAGGCCCGTGGCCCGAACTTCTCAGCTCGGCGACTGCGAATCCGCGTCCGCCCGCGACCAAAAAACGTATCCCCACCAGCCCATTCACAAACGATGCCCAGGCGAGTTGCCTTGATCAGGGAAAGCGGATGAGCATGCGGTGGATCAACAGCTGGAGAAGCCGTCAGAATAAAGTTTTGGATCCGCCTGCGCAAGCCCAGGAGCGAACCGCATGCGCCTTCAGGAAAATGCCGGATGAGGAAAGGCGGGAAATAAGGACGAGTGGGACGAGGGAGAGGAGGAGGTGGAGGAAGAGGAGGAGGAGAATGATAACGAAAAGGAGAAGGAGGAGGAGGAGGAGGAGGAGGAGGAGGAGGAGGAGGAGGAGGAGGAGGAGGAGGAGGAGAGGAGGAGGAGGAGGAGGAGGAGGAGGAGGAGGAGGAAGAGGAGGGAGGAGAAGGATGAGGCGGAGGAGGAGGAGGAGGAGGTGGGAGGAGAAAGGTGGGAGGAGGAGGAGGAGGAGGAGAGGAGGAGGAGGAGGGAGAGGAGGAGGAGGAGGAGGAGGAGGGGGAGGAGGGGGACAATGGCGAGCTCGGGGGTTTCTTGGGGCGTCTTGGGGGCCTGTTGGCGGTCCCGGGGGCCTCTGCGTACATCGGGGAGCCTTTTGCAGCCTCTTGGGGGTCTCTTGGGAGCCTCTTGGAGGCCTCTTGGGCGTCTCTAGGGGCCTCCCTGGCACTTCTTTAGGCCCTCGTGGTGCGCTCTCGGAAGGCTTGCGGACGTTCTTGGGCTCTTGGAGCCCTCCTGGGCACTCTTGGGCAGTCTTGGGACTCTCTCAGGCCTCTCTTGGGGCTCTGTGGAGTTCTCTTGGAGCTGTCTTGAGGCCTCGGAAGGCCATCAAATGCATCAAGGCGAGATGGCAACGTTCATTGATTTGCCTTAGGTTGTTGAAGGGTGTTGGCCTCTTGGCGGCCTCCGTGAGACCCTCCGTTGCCATTAGTAACCGTTTTGGAACGGTCATGGGGCCTCTTGGAGCATCTTGGGGGCCATCTTGAGGCATCTTGGGAAATGTTGTACCATCTTGGAAGTCATCTTGGGCTCTCTGAGGCCCTCTTGGAACCGTCTGGGGATATCTCAGATGCTCTGACCGCTCGCGGGGCGCCCCGTCCAGGTCCAGTGGAGGGGATAAGGGGGAGGGGTAACCCCCTCCCCGAAGGGGAAGAAGGGAGTTGGAAGAGGAGCCGGGGCCCAGAGGGCCGGTGGCATTCGGGATGGGACAGGAATCGGCCCCGCGCGGAGGGGGGTAAGGGGGAGGGGGGAGGCTTCTTAGAAGCACCCGTGCACCTTAGAAGGTGCGGGCCTTGCTCAAAGATGTAGGGCCATCGCCTTCTAAGGTGCAGCCTCTGTCCAGGAAGCCTCTCTCTCCCCCTGCCGCCTTGCGCGCGCCGCCAAAATACTCGCTCCCCCCCTGCTTCTGCGGGGGGGGGGAGGACACGTGCCGCCGGAAGCGGACGGAGGGAGGGGTTGGAGGAGGGGAGGAGCAGGAGGAGCAGGAGGAGGAGGAGGAGGAGGAGGAGGAGGGAAGAGGAGGACAGCGATACCGAGGGGCCAGGCTGCAGGAGGAGGAGGGAGGTGAGGAAGGAGGAGGACACATGTGGAGGGCATTGGGGGGGGGAGGACGAGAAGGAGTAGGAGGAGCAGGAGGGGGGGGGGCCGAAGCAGGAGGAGAAGGGGGCGAAGGGCTGGAGTGGGAGGAGCAGAATGGAGGAGGCGGAGGAGGAGGGGGGCGAGCAGGCGAGCGCAGTCGGAAGGTCAAGCACCCCCTCGCCCTTGACACGCACTCTGGCAGAGAAGGGGCCCGTGGTCGAAGGCGTACCTGAGGGGACCGGACACGAGAAGGTGTCCCTGGCCAGCTACAGGCGGTTCGTTGAAGTTGGGCTCGCGCTTCCGGGTAGTTCCCCAGATTCGGAGCGTAGGACCTCCGCGGCCGAGTCTTAACTCGGCTTCTACATGCCCTTCTTTCGTGTATCAGCGATCCTCACAGCAGCTCGATAACTAGGTGTAGCCCAAACAGAGAAGGCGTCCCTGTATAAATACCCGATGCAGCGCAGACAGCACGCCCAAGAGCAACGTCCGAGGACCGCTTGTTCTGGCCCAGGAGTAACAAGTGGTCCATGGTCACATCCTTGATTGGGAATGGTTCTGCCGCTCCAGCGCTGGCCACATCCCTGCTTGGGAACGGCGGCGCTCCTGCTTGTGCGTTGGCCGATGCTTCCATACTGGGACCCTTACAGCCTGCATCGTTGAAGGGTTGTTTAGAGGATTGTCTAAAGATGTTGTTCCCAACCATCCTGTGGTGTTGGGTCCTCGTTTTGAAGAGATTGTCCCCGCGTTCTCTTTTTTCCTTCATTCCTTCCTCCTCCTCGCTCCTCCTCCCCCTCCTCCCCCTCCTCCTTCCTCTTTGCGTTTCACCCACCCAGTACAGCGTTTCGTGGCCCCGCTCCACCGAAGGCCCCAGTGCCACCGCCCGCATGCGATACCCACACTCGTTTCGGCACACCCGTCACACGCTTCGTGGCCCCATGAAAAGCTCCACCGAAAACCCCAGTGCCCTGCCCGCATGCGTTACCCACACCCATTTCGACACACCCCTCACACGCTTCGTGGCCCCATAGGGAGCTCCACCGAAGGTCCCAGTGCCACCGCCCGCATGCGTTACCCACACCCATGTCGGCACACCCCTCAAACGCCTCGTGGCCCCATTGGGAGCTCCACAGAAGGCCCGGTGCCACCGCCCGCATGCGTTACCCACGCACGTTTCTGCACACCCCTCACACGCTTCGTGCCCCATCTGGGAGCTTCACCGAAGACCACAGTACCACTGCCCGCATGCGTCACATCGTCGTGGACCTTCGAGAGCGGGGTGATGTCGACAAGTCCGAGAGAGAGACGAGGAAAGGATAATCAGTCTGAAACACTTGCCGCTGGGGTTCTGGGTGCGCACGGAGAAGTCCGCGAGCGCGTCCTTCGTGGAATACCTCAAGCGCCACGACGACAGCCTCACGGGGGACCTCCAGTGTTTATCGAGCCTCGCACGTCGGAGCCGTTCACCTTCCGCACCTCCAAGGTCACCCGAAGGGCCTTCCCGTTCTCGCACGGAATGATCATCACCACGGTGGCGCGCCAGGGGCGCACCGTGCGTGAAGGCGCCGGGGCGAGGGCACGGCGCCCCCGGGCAGTCTACGGCCAAAGTTTTTGGGCGCGAGCGGTCCGCAGCCAGACCTTCTCTCGGCCCCGTGGACTCTCGCCCTGGTCCGTCGGCTGTCCGGCGCGCTGCCCCTTCGGCCGATGTCGCCCAGGCGTGATTTTGGATTGCGGCCGCCAGGAGGTTGGGAACGGCAAGAAGGAGGACAACGACTGGCGGCTGGAGCTCTACGCGCTGCTCTCGCGCGCCACGCGCCGCGAGGACCTCGAGTTCTTCCCGCAAGGCCGCCGGAGGGCTTGCGGAAGCAGCTGGAGCAGTTTGCTGCGCGCACAAAGCGGCGCCGGAGGGAGGCGACGGCCCTCGCCACGGAGCTGGGCTTCGCCGAGTTCGTCCGCGAGGCTTGACTGGAGGAGAGGCCCGCACGAGCCTTGCCGTCTCTCGACGGTCTGACAGTTTGGCCTCGCGCAAAGGACGACCCGCGCGCGTCGCTGGGACCTTCTCGGGGCGACCACCGCGCGGAGCGGGAATTCCACGCTGCGCTCTGCCCAGCGACTCGCTCGCCCCCGTCGTCTCTCTGCTCGGCGGCCAGAGCCTTGCCCGCTATCAGCCAGCGAGCTAGCTCTCTCTACTCCGCGCAGCGGACGGCCCGCGCGCGTCGCCGGGACCTCTTCGGGGCGCCCCGCGCGCGTCGCGGGGGCTCCGCGCGGCGCCGCGCCCGCGGCTTCGGACATGGGCGCGCGCTGGCGAGAAGGGAGAAAAATAACGGGAAGGAAGCGGGCGCGATCCTCGGGAGGGGCGCGCCGACATCGGCGTCGACGTTTATGCGCGTAGACTCGCGCGCCCGCTGATTCATTCACAATCAGATTCACTCGCGCTCAGACTCGCCATCTCTCAGTCTTTCGCACGCAGCCGCATCGTCTTCGTTCGCTTTGCCTGCCCCGCCGCGCATGTCGGCACGCCCCTCTCACGGTTCGTGGCCCCATAGTGAGCGCGGGCGAATGTGATATTCACAACTGCGGTATGCGCAGCTGCATATGGTTGCATCCTTCGCCAGGCTACTGTCACAATGTTTTTTGTTCATGCGACGTAGTAGCTCACTTCCAGGAGCCGTGCTTGCTCGGTGGCCTCGCGCTGCTTCGAGTGCCTCCCTGCGGGCTGCGCCACTGCCCGAGACAGGTACCTGGCGCTGCGGGGATACGTGTACTCGTGCGACAAGCCTGGGCAGCCCAAGGGGGTTTCACCGCCGGGATCCAGCATCGTCCAACCTATCCCCATTCCCAGTTGACCATGACAACTCAGCCCCACCAGCCATATCGCTCCGACCGATCCGGTTCGATATCGAGGCCGGCTGGCCCGATCTGGTCTGTCTCCGATGTTCCGTCGACCCGATGTGGCCAGTTTGTTGCATGGCACTGTTCTGCAGCTTGGCCGATTTCGTTTCCCATTTCACCCAGTTTTCCGATTCGGTGCTGTGTGAATTTGCCAGTCCACCCTTTTAGAAGGGGGTAGGCCCCGCGAGAGCCGGAGGAACAGGCACAGATATCCACGAGTGTGGGTAAGTCCGCTAGTGTGGCCAAGGCCACGCCAGTGGGGACGGGGATCGGTTCAACAACCTTCAAGCGGTGTCATCTGTTCTTGCCAGGAGCCGAGGGTCGAGGATGTTTAGGGGGTGACTGAGCGAACGAGTGGCAGTAAGGGTGTCTGCATATTGTCTCCGGTTTACCCGCGCATCGAGTGCAGGAATTTCAAAATGTCACGCCAGCGCAGCCGGACATCGACATGTCGTGTCCATGCATCGGGCTACCTTGACCGCGCATCGATCAAAAAAAAGGTTTTGCGGTGTTTCTGGGCGGTTTGGGGGCCCCTTGGGATTTCCGGTGGCCCGACTCCGGGAGAATGTGGCGACTCCCATAGGTCAGCACACACTTCTTGGCAAGTGAAATTCAGCATCGGCGCTGGTATAACCAAGGTCGAACACTGGCCCCATCGCAAACAATCCCATGCATTCCGGATATGGATCGTTTCGTGTTGTTTGATTCATGGCGTAGTCTATTAATACAGCTGCATGCCCCGCCTGAATTGAGTTGATAGCCATGAACGGTTTTTACGAAGGCCTTTTTTTTTCAGGAGTTGTTTCTTAAAGTGGTGGTGACCCTCTTTGGCCTTGCCTGTCGAGCGCTACAAGTGGCTCGCCATGGCAGCGCTGCTCCACAAGAAGTTCCCCATCAGCAATCACGACGTGTTCGCGATGGTCGAGGAGTGTGAGGACCGTGCTCCTGGTTCGCCGCGGGGACTGCTAAGGGGAGATGGGGTACTATCAGTGGGTTCCAAGGTGAGGCAATTCTGGCCTCACCTTGCTCACATGTGAATGTCACGTTCCTTCAGAGGCATATGGGGCTGAAGCATCAGGGCGAAGTGGGTACCGCCCACTTGGCGGAGACACGTGACCCCCTTGATGCACTTGGGTCACTTGTGCTGACCCACGTCGGGGGCCTCCTGGAGGCAGTTTTGATGCCTCCGGGGGCGTGGCTCCAGGGCATCTTGGAGCCCCTTTCTGTCCTCTCTGGGGCATCTCGGGGCCTCGTGGGTGCCTCTTTGTCGCCTCGCCACTTTGGGGCGTGGAGCTCGGAGTTCCCGTTCGCGTTCCCCCTCTTGGGCCCTTCTTGGGGCCGCCTTGGAGCCATCTGGAGCCGTCTCCGGCGCTTTTTGGGCAGTCTGAGGTCCTTCTTGGGGCCCTCTTGGGGGCTTCTGAGGCCGCCTTGGGGCGGTCTTGCTGAATGGGGATTCCGCGATGCGGATTCTTGTTGTTGTTGTTGTTGTTGTTGTTGTTGTTGTTGTTGTTGTTGTTGTTGTTGTTGTTGTTGTTGTTGTTGTTGTTGTTGTTGTTGTTGTTGTTGTTGTTGTTGTTGTTGTTTGTTGTTTGTTGTTTGTTGTTTGTTGTCGTCGTCCCACCCGCAACCCGCCCCGCGACCCACCCTGCGACCCACCCGCGACCCACCCGCGACCCACCCGCGACCCACCCCGCGACCCACCCCGCGACCCACCACGCGACCCACCACGCGACCCACCCTGCGACCCACACGCGACCCACCCGCGACCCACCCGCGACCCACCCCGCGACCCACCCCGCGACCCACCTTCGACACAAACCATGTTCAAGGTACAAACCGCCATCTTCGGCGCCTGCGGCGGGCTTTTTTTGCATTCATTCCAGGTGGAGAGCTCGCGACCCACCCCGCGACCAACTCGCGACGCAAACCACGTTCAGGATACAAACCACATTTTTCGGCGCCTGCGGCGGGCATCTTTTGCATTCGTTTCAGGTGGAGGGCCCGCGGCCAACCCGCGACCACGTTCAGGGTACAAACAAAATTGTTCGGCGCCTGCGGCGGGCATCTTTTGCATTCGTTCCCCGTGGAGAACCCGCGGCACACCCGCGACCCAAACCACGTTCAGTGTACAAAACAATTTTTTCGGCGCCTGCGGCGGGCTGCCTTTGCATTCCTTCCATGTGGAGGTGGAGAGCCCGCGACCCACCCGCGACCCCAACCACGTTCACTGAACAAAACAATGCCGCACAAGCGCGGCGGCGGATTTTTGCATGCCGTCTGAGCCCGCAACGACCTCTTCAAGCCCCGCGCATACACACCAGCCAGTCCAGCAACTTTGCCCTGGCGAGTTGCCTTGATCAGAGAAGTCGGGGAGCATGAAGTGGAAAAAAGGATTACGTTGCCGTTATCTTGGGAAAGGAGTGGGAGGCAGGAGTAAACAGGGGACGAGGCGGACGCGGAAGAAGAGAGGATGTAAGGATAATGTGGAGAAAGAGGAGGAGGAGGAGCAGGAGGACGAGGAGGGGGAGGAGGGGGAGGAGGGGGAGGAGGAGGACGAGGAGGGGGAGGAGGGGGAGGAGGGGGAGGAGGATGATGATGGACGACAATGGGAGGACGATGATGGAGGCCGATGAGGGGGAGGACGACAATGGGAGGAAAATGATGGAAGGACGAGAGGGGGAGAGGGAGGACGAGGAAGAAGAGGAGGAGGACGAGGTGGAGGAGGATGACGATGACGATGAGGACGAGGACGAGGAGAGGAAGAGGAGTAGGAGGAGGAGGAGGAGGAGGAGGAGAGCGCCATCGACAGGGAAGATGGGGGCCACGAGGTCCGCGGGCTCGACGACGCCCGCGTCACCCGCGCCCGCCCCCTCACTCTTATCCGCAATTGCGGGGTGCTACGGTATAGGCATATCTTGGGAGGGATATTGGGACTCTCTTGGGGCGTCGCCAAGGCTTCTCCGGCAGTCTTTGGGCCATGGTGGGCGTCTTGGGAAGCTTTGCGGCCATCTCGGAGGTGTCTTGGACTCCCCAGGATCTTCTCGGGGCTCTCTTGACCCGTTTGGGGGCCTTCCTGCGTGGGGAATTGTTCCAGAGGCCTACGCGGAACACCCTGAGAGCGCCTGGATGCGCCCAAGACCGCCCAGGCATTTCGTGGCTGGGCCCTAAAGAATCTAACCATCTTTTCAGAACAGCATGACCTCTTAGAACTGAAGGAGTCTTGGTGCAGTCCTTTCCGTGCTGAAGGCAGGGCACCTTGGCATCCACTGATGACCCCTATCCCCTTAGCAGCCCACGCGTCGATGCAATCCGGCGCCGACACAATCACGGGGCCGCTCGCGATCTCAGTTGGTGGGATTCCAGTCCGCGCCTGTTCTCGAGATCTGGGTCATAAGGCGCTCTTCAGTGGAGACCCATGCCAAGCAACACCTTCCTTGCCTCCAGGGTGCCCCGGGTTTCTTGGGTTTCGATGGTTCTGCTGTGGCAAGCGTGACGCTCCCACACCAAAAGTCAATGGACGTCCTGGGGACACTGGGTTGAGCTTCTTCTTGGAGGTTCTTTTTGTCGACTGGCTTCCACTGTATGTTAACCATGCTGACCAGTGAAACTCATGCAATTGGTCCAGGGAAGAAAGGGCGCGGCGCCCAGGCGAGATCCTGTGGTCGGACCCCTACTGTAGGACGGGCCTGGGAGCCGGCCTCTCAGGTCCTTGCCGGGGGCGCGGAGGCGACCGCGCGGAGCGTGCGGCGCGACCTGGGGCCGCGGGAGATCTTCTCATTCCAAGGCCGCCTCGCGAGGGCGCGAGGGCGATCTCGCACATTCCGTCGGCGAGCCTGGGGGGGAAGCGAGAAGGAGAAGGCCTTCTCAGGAGGCTCGGACGCCCCACCGCCGTCCGAGAAGCCTTCGAAGCCTTCCCCGAAGACACGGAGAGCTCCTCGGGAGGCGCGAGGCCTTCTGAGAAGCCCCGCCGCCGTCTGAGAGGGCCTTCTTCTCACTTCCCCCCTTCGCTCGGCGCCGAGCATGTGGGCGCGACGTGCAAAGTCATGTGGTCGGACTTTCGATCATGGACCCCTTGTTGAACGCAACCATCCAGATTTCGCGTCGAGAGCAGCCGACGACTGCCTTCGGAACCGCCGAAGATTGCCGACGGCCGTCAGGGAAGAGGCGCTGGAGATCGCCAGGAGACCGCCGGAGACCGTCGAAAAGGCCACCGTCGGAAGGCCGCCGAAGTCCGCCCAAGGCCGCTGGGCAGCGAGGGGAGTCCATGGTCGAACGCGTCGAGGTGGCCCGGGTGTGGCGGTGGCTGCGGCGGACGGTGGCATTGACGCGTTGTCGTGCTGAATTATCGTGGGGTCGCTTGAGGCCTGAGCCGTCGGGTGAACGAAGAGTCAACAAAAAGACACGGCAGCCTCCGGACCGGACCGGATATCTGCGAGAGGCCTGAGAGACCTGACTTTCGAGTGATTGAAGAGCCTGGGGAGAGGCGAGATGGTGCCGTGAAGTCTTGGACGCCCACGTTTAGTCGGGCATGTCCCTCTACAGGAGGAGCACTTGGAAATAGTAAACAAAAATATCAGGGGACGATTCTTCAATTATTTTGTAATATATATATATATATATATATATATATATATATATATTGCATCTGTGGTATTTGTTGTCCAAAATCCGCCTGTAGGGGGCCGACCTGAAGGCCCAGGCATAGAGGGAGGGAGGCCCGCCCTGTGCCGGGCCGACGCCCAGGCGAAGATGGGCGCTACCGGAGAGCCGACGTCGTGCTTGTCGAGCGTGCGGCAAGGGAGCGGGACCTAAATTCAGGTCGGGCCTGTCCCCTTGGCATCGCTCGGACGTGTGCATTTTTCCCTCGGCGAGGACTATCGAGGAGCATCCTTGATCATTTGGCGAGAAAACCACGCACGAAACCGACAAAGACAGGGAATGGACGTTCGAGCGATGGCGAGGTCCCTCCACAGGAGGAGTATTCAAACATAGGAGCGAAAAAACAAACATTGCCTGGGGAAGCTTTTTTACTTCGTTGTATAGTATCTGGCATTGTTCGACGACGTTTTTGCTGTTCCGTCCAAGATCCGCATGTAGGGGGACACGCCCGACCTAGACGCAAGTCGGGCCTGTCCCTCTACAGGGAATCTCCCAAATAGTCAAACAATAGTCGAAAGACGGTTTATTCCCAACCCTCCTGTGGTGTTGGGTACTCGTTTTGGATGGAGCAGTGTGGTCTCCACCTCTCCTCCTCTCCTCCTTCTCTCTTGTCTCCTGTGTTCCCTTCTCCTCTTCTCTCGTGCAGTCGGGCTGCGATTTGCGCAATTGTCGCCACTTTCGTGGGCCCCTGGGAGGCCCAGCGGAGGTACGTCATACGCGGACCACCTCGGGACCTCGCCGCCCCTTGGGGGCTTGCGATCTGCGCAATTGTGGCCACGTTCGCGGGCCCCTGGGAGGCCCAGCGGAGGTACGTCATACGCGGACCACCTCGGGACCTCGCCGCCCTTTGGGGGGTTGGCGATCTGCGCAATTGTCGCCACTTTCGTGGGCTCCTTGGAGGCCCAGCGGCGGTACGTCATACGCGGACCACCTCGGGACCTCGCCGCCCCCTGGGGGGCTGGCGATCTGCGCAACTATCGCCACGTTCGTGGGCTCCTGGGAGGCCCAGCGGAGGTACGTCATACGCGGACCACCTCGGGACTTCGCCGCCCTTTGGGGGGCTGGCGATCTGCGCAATTGTCGCCACTTTCGTGGGCTCCTGGGAGGCCCAGCGGAGGTACGTCATACGCGGACCACCTCGGGACTTCGCCGCCCTTTGGGGGGCTGGCGATTTGCGCAATTGTCGCCACTTTCGTGGGCCCCTGGGAGGCCCAGCGGAGGTACGTCATACGCGGACCACCTCGGGACCTCGCCGCCCCTTGGGGGCTTGCGATCTGCATACTTGTCGCCACGTTCGTGGGCTCCTGGGAGGCCCAGCCGAGGTACGTCATACGCGGACCACCTCGGGACTTCGCCGCCCTTTGGGGGGCTGGCGATCTGCGCAATTGTCGCCACTTTCGTGGGCTCCTGGGAGGCCCAGCGGAGGTACGTCATACGCGGACCACCTCGGGACCTCGCCGCCCCCGGGGGGGCTTGCGATCTGCGCAACTGTCGCCACGTTCGTGGGCTCCTGGGAGGCCCAGCGGAGGTACGTCATACGCGGACCACCTCGGGATCTCGCCTCGTTTGGGGGGGCTTGCGATCTGCGCAATTGTCGCCACGTTCGTGGGCTCCTTGGAGGCCCAGCGGAGGTACGTCATACGCGGACCACCTCGGGACCTCGCCCCCCCCTGGGGGGCTTGCGGTCTGCGCGTTTCTTTCAACGCCCTTGTGTTTCCATGTTGTAGATTTGCCATTCCTCTTCTTGCTGCGCTTTTCTGAAATCACTGAGGGGTGCTCTTCTTGCGCACTGCGGGCCGTTCAGAATGCCAGTCAACATCGAGTGGTCCTGAGTATAATCGGCGCTGGGCGCGTGGAAGACGAGCTTTCGGCGTGGACCGACGTTCTCAAATCGCGATGATGATAGCAGGTGCGCCCGCCTGTTTTGCTCCACTTCGTCAGCTGCGTTTGCGGCAAACCTTCTCATGGTGCGCGCGCGCGCTGCTGACCCTGGTGCGCGGGATCCCCTTTCCATCGGCGGCTAGCCCCTGAGGTCTGGACCTCGCGTCCTGCGCATTTTGGAAGGGGGGGCATGTTATTTGTTGGTGGGTGGGCCCGTGATGCCACTGATCATTGTGCCAGTGGGCTGCTTACTTCGAGGCCCCCCCCCGTCGGCGGCTAGCCCCTATTGTTTGGGCCCTGGTGTCCTGCGCCTTTGGCGGGTGGGGCGTTCGCGTGTTGGTTGGCCTTTTGTTGCTGCGATCAAAGGCGCCAGCGATCAGCTTGCATCGCCCCCCCCCCTCCATCGGCGGCTAGTCCCTAACGTCTGGATTTTGGCGTCCTGCATTTTTTTTCGTGTGTGTGTGTGTGTGGGTGGGGGGGCGGCTGCGTATGTTGGTGGGCCAATGTGGGCCAATAGCGCTGCTGGTCAAGTTTGTCGGAGGATGCTTAATTTCAGATATCGGTACTTTTGCGGCGCTGTTGATCATTTTGTCCAGTGGATTGCCCATTCAGATAGCTGGTCCTTCGTTGGAGTGTTCGAGCTGATGGGTTGCCCGCCTGAGCGATGGTTCTGACGCGTGGCCGTGCACGGCGTCGGGCCCTCGAGCTCGGCAGTGCTGCCGCGGCATCAGGAGAGTATGAGTAGTGGTGCGAGGCCCCGGACACGGGCATTAACATATTCTGCGAAGTTTCTGCGTGCGCAGTGGCCTTCGCCCGCCTGCCTCTTCGCCTCCCTCCTTCCTCGCGGTCCCTCGGGCCCTCGTCCGTTCGCCTGTCTGTCTGTGTGTGCGCGTGCGAGCAGCGCAGTGCAGCGTAGCGTGCTTATGTGCTTGTTTTCTTCGAGTGGTCCCCATGATACGACACACCTCTGGCTCATCAGATGCGTCCTCCTCCTCCTCCTCCTCCTCCTCCTCCTCCTCGGCCTCCTCCCTCCTCTCCCCATTTAGGTCACCCCTCATTACCACCCTCCCGATACTGTTTCTCGGTGTTCCTCTTTTTTTGGCGTGTCCCCCGAGACTGCTTCTCGGCGGCGACTTTTGATGCCTGCTTTCGCCGGCCCAGGATGCAGGCAAACCGATGGGCGACGGGGGCAGGGCTCCGAATGCGCCGAGCATGTGGCGACATAAGAACCTTACTCCCGCATCCCATCGATTCAGGTGAGCGTTTTTTGCTTCATAGGGAATCGTTCGCTACCCAGGCCAAGCCCCACCCACACACACACACACACAGTCACACACACAGTCACACACACAGTCACACACACACACACACCTCGGTTAAACCTACCCGGTCGTACGGGGGGGGTGCAAGCTAAGACCCCCCTCTACATGCTGTGGTGCACAGGCGATTGATGCGCCGGTGGCGCGGACACCCTGGCGGGTGCACGCCGCGGCCGCCGTTATCGTAACCGTCCCTCCCGACCCCCTTCGTGCCCGGGTAATGACCCGGGAAAAACAAGACAGACCGGTCACCACGAGAGCGAATCTGGTTGGTGTGGCGAACACCCTCCGTCTTGATGTCTGTCAGTGCGTTGGGGGTTCGGTGGTTTTCGGGCCACTGCGCGGACCTCGTGGCGGCCGTCCGGGACGATCGGGCATCCCCGGAGAGCTCCTCGATGAGGCGCAGATACCGAAGTGCGTCCCGGGCCTGGGATGACATCCGAAAACGCCGCGCTCCAAAGAGTGCCCAGAACGCCATGCGTCGTCGCTGTCCCTCAGAGGAGGACAAGGTACCCATACCGCTACCCTTCGCCCGTTTTCACCTTTTTGGACCTCCTGGGAGGCCCTCGTCGCCATCGCTGGATTCGCTTGGAAATTCTGGTCAGCACGCCTCTGGGAGAGGTCTGGGCAGTAGCGGTATCGGTACCTTTGCTTCCCCCCAGTCCCGTATTGGAGTGGATCCTGAGCTTGGCGAATTTTTAGGAACCGACGAAGTCGCCCGAACACGCCGCCCTATGCAGAGTGGAGGACCCTCCGTCGTCTTTCTTGCCGTGGCTCGAGGACGTCGAGAATGATGATGATGATGATGATGATGATGATGCTGATGCTGATGTTGATGCTGATGCTGATGCTGATGATGATGTGCTATGGTTCTGAATCATGATGGTGATGATGATGGCGATGATGATGACGACGAAGATGACGATGACGATGATGATGAAGTTGAGGAGGATATCGATGATGAGGGTGAGGATGAGGATGACGAAGATGCTGATGATGAGGATAATGATGATGACGGTGATGATGATGGTGATGATGCTGATGATGATGACGATTATGATGATGATGGTGCTGATGATGGTGATATCTCTTTTGGTGGCGATCATGCCGATATGATGATACAGGTGATGGTGATGATGATGATGATTACGATGACGCTGATGATGATGATCATGATGATCATGCTCATGATCGTAATATTGATGATGCTGGTGATGATGGCGACGGCCACGACGACGACGATGATGATGTTGATGATGATGATGATGATGGTGCTCGTGATGATGGTGATGGTGATTATTATGTTGATGATCATGATGGTGCTGGTGATGATGATGATGATGATGATGATGATGATGATGATGATGATGATGATGATGATGATACTGCTACTGATGATAATGATGCATCAACTGGTTCTGATAAGGTATTCATGCTGCTGCTGATTATGACGCTGATGATGCTACTGATGATTCTGATGATGACGATGATCATCATGATGATGGTACTGATGATGATACTGATGATGCTGATGATAATGACGATGCTGATTATGATGATGACGACGATGATGATGCTGATGATGACGATGATGATGATGATGATCATCATCATCATCATCATCATCATTTCTCCAGCGCTGCTGAAACAGTCGGTCCTTCGCGACACGGCAAAAGGTTCCCCCCCAAGAGGAAAAGCTGGACGGCACGGGCACCCCGGATGGCACGAACCCGTGCCGGCCCACGGACGACCAGGCCCGGCAGCGCGCATCGCCGAAGGGGGGCTGCCACAGAAGGGTACCCCTGGCGCAAGGTGCTCCCCATTTGCGCGCACAGGGGAGCAGTGGGAGTGGGAGGTTTCTCAGAAACACCCATAGGGGGTCCATGGTCGTATATGTCAGATTCAAGTGGCGATTGCGAGCCGGCGACGCCTGCGGAGGCGCTCAAGTTTGAATTGAGCGACGCGGAAGCACCGAGGGGCACGGTGGCGCCATTGGAACCGACGGAATTCAATTTTGAACGAACGGGACCGCGATCGATTCAAGGTTGAATGATTGGCGCGATGTCAAACACCTTTGCGCGTGCCAACGCCGCACGAACTTACCGTACCGTGGGACCGAGGTATAAGATCGAGGTCGTTTCGGGGAGGGTTCTCTGATGTTCTTTGTGCTTGTCGGATGCTCTTGTGCATTTTGCTGTGCTTTGGCCGGAGGGTCTCGTGGTCCACGTTCTTTTGTCCTAGGTTTGGAGAGTGAAAGCGGGGGTCGGGCGCAGTGTCCCTGAAATGGTGTCTTTATGGGCCATGAATGGGCGATGCATCCTCGATTGCTGTGTTCGGCGGGGGTGCCAATTGAAGCTCCCCGCCTGCACCCATGCGCGAGACTTGAGGGGAAACGAAGCAAGGGGGCGGGGGGCGGGGGGCTCGGGAGAGGCGACGAAGGCAAGGTGCGCTGAGGGCGCAAAAAGACAAGGTTGAAATAAACGAACGCGGTGATGTGAGTGTCAAAATCTGCCCAGCCAACCTGACATGCGGAGCATTGCGCCTCAGGTCTGGGGATCTTGAAGGCCAGGGCAAATGTAAATTCACAGTGTGGGGAGAAGCAAAATGCGAATTCACATTTTGGGAAAAAGGAACATGTGAATTCACATTTGGGGAAAAAAGGAAAATGCGAATTCATGTTTTGGAATTTTGTGTAGGAGTCTTTATGAAGGGGCCAGAATATGAATTCACATGTTGGGAAAAAGGAACATGTGAATTCACATTGTTCGAAAAAGGAAGATGTGAATTCACATTTTGGGAGAATCGCGGGGCCCATTCCAAATCTGTTATGGGGGTCGATACTTCATCGTTTGGAAACATACGCGATCATCAATCGCACAATCAAGACACACTTGCACTCCACTTCGCAAATCCCCGCGCAGAATGCATGAACGCCCGCACGCATGAACGATAATGGATGGACGGCGCGTGTGCCCACGCGGGCAACGCGCGGGCACGAACGACTGGCCCTCCATGACCGCCAACATTGGATGCAAAGTGTTCCCGATCACATACATGAGCGATACATTGAGCATACATGGGCCATTCAGCCCCCATTGAAGACCCCCTGTTGCAGACCCCCTCTTTCACCCTCCAATAGGTCCAGCTGCATTTGGCGGCGCGCACAGGCGGGTAGTAGGAGTGGGAGGCTTCTTAGAAACACCCCTGCTTCTTAGAAGGCGAGGGCCTTCTCTGTACTTCTAAGAAGCAGCCTCCCTTTTAAGAAGCCTCACCCCCTCCCCCTACCCTACCCCCTTGTCGGCGGCGGGCGAGGGGGGAAGTCAGAAGGAAAAGGTCTCCTCAGAAGGCTGGGGGACTTCAGACGCCCTCGCGCCTTGTGAACAGTTTTCTGTAAATCTGTCCTGAGGGAAGCGGATCCCAAAGTTCTTCGCGGTTTTCGGGCTCGCGGGGCCGTCCACGTGTCAGAAAATGGTTCAGGATGAATGTGTACGCTTCGCGAATCCCCACCAGCCCATTCAGGAGCCTTGCTCATGAGAGCTGACGCGAACAGGGACGAAGGGACACATCTAGTAAAAACAAAGCGGGTAACCAGGGGGAACAAGAGAGACCTCAGGGAGCAAATGGGGTGGCCTTGGAGGGTCTCTTCGATTCATCCCTAGGGCCCAGAGCTCTTTTGGGGCATCTTGGGGCCCTCATGGGGCTCTTTGTAAGGTCTTGGGGTCCTCTTGGGGCTCTTTTGGTGGCGCCTTTGGGCCCTCACGGGGCCCTCTTGGGCTCTCTTGGGGCTCTTTTGGGGCCCTCTTGGGAGCTATGGAGCGCCTCCTTGGGCCATCTTGGAGACCATCGACCAAAGGAGGGGGGGGGTCCTCGATTTCCCGCCCCCATCCCCCCTCTGGGGCCATCGAAATGGCCTCTTGTGGCGCTCTTGGGGCCCTCTTGGGGGCCTCTGGGGCTCTTCTTGGAGCTCTCTTGGGCCATCTTGAGGCGTCACAAGCGCATCGGAAGCGAAAAGGCGAGAAGGCAAACATCCGTGATGTTCCGATGGTTTTTGACAGATGTTGGTGTCTCCGGGAGGTCCTGATGGGGTCCCCAAAAACACTTGGAATCGCCTCGTGGTTCTCTTGGGGCCTCTTGGAGGCATGTTGTTAGCTATCTTGAGTCATGTTGGGCTATTTTGAGCGATCATGGAGGCTATCTTGGGCTCTCTGAGGCCCTCTTAGAGCCATCTTGGGCGAAAACAACCTTTTGCACCTTGCGAACTCTTTTGTTCAGGTCCAGGGGAGGGGGTAGGGGGAGGGTTTTTTTGGAAGAGGGAGGGAGGGTTTTGGAAGAGGGAGAAAGGGCATTGTTGGACCACCTGCGCCCAGAGGGCTGGTGGGACTGCTCCTGGGGGAGGCCCCCGGGTCTAGGACGCGTTTCCCTCGGGACCCGCCTCCAACTATACTAAGGAGTTGTCCGATTCCAGTTTCATTATGGTACGACTCCAGTTCGGCTCAAGTTCGACTCAGGCTCGGCTCAGGACTGACTCAGGCTCGACTCAGGCCGACGGACGTTCGACGCAGCGACGACGCACGAGGGAAAGGTACCCATACCGCTCGTTTGTCGCTCTGGGGGGGCTCCTGGGAGGCCCTCGTCGCCACCGCTGGATTCGCCTCGAAATGTTGGTCAGAGCGCACCCCAGGAGAGGAAAAGCGGTACTGGCTCCTTTTGGTTCTTTCAAATTTTGGGACACAGCCCCAGAGGGCTGTTCGGACGCACCCCTGCCGAGGACCCTGAATTGCTTCTCCATCCGAAGTCCCACGAGCAACTCTGGCGTCCGGGGTCGTCGTACACCCCGTTACCCCTCTCTCAGTATCGTTTGACCGATCCATATCCCCATCCCCATCCGCATCTCGAACCCCACCGTCTCACCACCTCAGTTGGGGATGCCCCTCGAAACCCGAATAGAGCAGCTCATATCCCCTATCAGGGGGGCAAGTCGGCCAGTGGGGCCCAGCCCACGCAAGTGGGAATGGGGGGATCGATTCAACGATGCTCAACCTCTCTACGTCGACCTCCTGCTGCCGCTGCGGGCCACAGGCGGTCTATCCGCGAAGCCCTCGCGGCGCCCGCGCGCGCCGCCCCGCGCCGCGCGCGGGCACCGCGCACGCATGCACGGACGTGTGCCGCGCACGCACCGAAGGGCACGCCGTGCGAGCCGAACACGCGAACGAGCGAACGGACGCACAGCGTGCACGAGGGGGGGGGGGGAGGGGGACGCCTCCAGGGCTCATGGAATCCAGGAAGGGGGAGGGGGGATCATTCGGCCCCAGCGCGACCTCCTGCTCTTCCTCCTCCTCCTCCTCCTCCTCCTCCTTCCCTCTCCGGTCGTGTCTCCTCCTCCGCCGCCGCCGCAGCGCCACAGGCGGCGATCCCGGCCCTCGCGCCCGCACCGGGGCCGCCCGGGCTCGCTGCGGTGCGGTCGGCGCCGGGAGACCCCTCCATTCGGACGCCCGAGATGGGTACAGAAAGGATGGGTAGTCCAGATTTCGTAATAAAGGGAGGGGGGTCTCATTTCGGGGGGGGTCTCTTCCAGGCTATCTTGGAGGGCCTGGGGGGGTCTGAGGACGGTGTTTTGGAGGGTTCTCCCACGGGGGGGGATTTGAAATGGCTTGTCTTGGAGGTTCCAGACCCCCTCCCTTTTCTTACGAAATCTGGAGTACAGTGCCCAACGACAGCGGCCGCTGTTGGGCAGGCAGCCTTCTGTCTCGAATGGAAACATGGACACAGGCCGCGGCGGCGTGGACAGCGAACCCTGTCCAAAATGAACGGGAACTGCTGTTGGGCATTGTACCCATTCTTTCCGTACCCATTTCGGGCGTCCAAACTCCAGAGTTTTGGGTTAAGTCGGGCATGTTCCTCTACAGGAGGAATGTCCAAACACATCCAAACATTGTCTGGGGACTGTTTGTTTTGGGGGGGGCAATGTTTACCTGACTCTTGGCCATTTCCTATTTCTCGTCCAAGATCCCCCTGCAGGAGGACACGCCCGACCTTTGGGGGGCCCAGCTTCCAGCTCCGAGCGGGGGAGGCGGAGGGCAGGCCACCCTCCTCCCCGCACCCCGAGGCGGCGATCCTCGTCCTCCTGCATCTCCTCCTCCTCCTCCTCCTCCTCCTCCTCCTCCTCCTCCTCCTCCTCCCTCTCCCTCCACCTCCTCCGCCTCCGCCTCCGCCTCCGCCTCCTCCTCCTCCTCCTCCTCCTCCTCCTTTCTCCTCTTCCTCCTCCGAGGGAGGCACTATGCAGGCTGCGCCTCTGTCCCCCAGGCCCATAGGCAGTTCAGCCCGTGGGACTCAGTGCATCACGCCCTGGGGGCGTCAGTGGCGATGGCTGCGCCCGTGGTACCGCACATCCGACGGGCAACGTTGGACATCGTGGTGCTGCAGGGAGGGCGCGCACGGTGCGCGCCCTCAGCTGTGGGCAGAGTTGCTGCCCCCCTCGGTCTTGCCGCGCACGGCCCGCAGAGGAAAATCCTCCTCCTCCTCCTCCTCATCATCAGCATCAGCATCAGCATCAGCATCAGCATCATCATCATCATCATCATCATCATCATCATCATCATCATCAGCATCATCAGCATCATCAGCATCATCATCATCATCATCATCATCATCATCATCATCATCATCATCATCATCATCCTACTCATCATCCTACTCCTTCTCTTTCTCTTCCTCCTCCTCCTCCTCCTTCTCCTCCTCCTCCTCCTCCTCTTCCTCCTCCTCCTCTTTCCCCCTTCCTCCTCCTCCTCCTCCTCCTCCTCCTCCTCCTCCTCCTCCTCGTTGTGGGGTGCTTCTGGGGGGGGGGGGGGGGGGGGGGGCCAGCCTTCCGTTGAGCTCCCCGCCGTGTCGCGATCGCAGTCCGAGCGAAGAGTGGCTCGCGTGCCGTGGCCTGCAACCATGTGTTCGGCGGGGAGGTGCTCCGTGGACAGATTGCTCCCAGTACGCTGCGGGGCCCCCCCTGGGCGCCGCCCGCAGGTCACCAGCGTGTGCCTCGAGCACTTCCCCGAGGGGCAGCCCCGCCCCACCGCCTTCGACGCGCACCTCGAGCGGTGGCTCGGCTTCAAGGTGCACGGCGTGCCCTGCTCGCCGCGCTTGTGCGAGCACTTCGACTCGGTGTTCCGAAGAAGAACCGACCGCAGAAGCATGAGCTCTGGGAGCTCCACGCGAGCAGCGAAGCAAAAACGGGTTCTCAATCGCGCTGACATGCCCGCGTACGTTTTTCCTGCGCGAGGTCGCGTGCACGCGCCCTCGTCCTCCATGTGTTGCGCTGGCGGCCCGCGTCAGCTGCAGCGTAATGTCGCTGTGTCGCCTCGCGTAGGACGCGTTTCTTTTCGTTGCTCACGCGCGTGGATGCCTTAGATCTGCGCTGGTCCCCACTGCCGGCGCCTCCTACGCCGCCCCCGTGGCGCCCCGCGCGCCATGGATGGGGTCCAGCGCCGATCCAAGAAATCTGCGCGAACATCCGGTAGTACAGTCGGGGCGCTGAAGAAGGAACCCTTTTGGTTTGGGAGGAGCTCACTGCTCCTTAGCGATTTCACAGGTTGCCTTCGGTTTTCCTTACGTTTCGATGGGACATCGAAGTTTAACTTATGGAAAAAATGGGCCTCGTTCCTTATTCAGGGTTCCTTAGGTCAAGGCCCCGACTGTAGTATGTGTTTATGCAGTTGGTCTTCTTCCAGGTGCGGGAGACAGACGTGCTCTGCATGTGCGGGTGCCCATCGGGGGAACAGAAGGCGGAGGAGGGCGGTCTCCCTGGCGTTTTTTTTCTCTGCTCCTTGGAGCTCCCGTGGAGCCGGATCCCCGTGTCGGACCGTGGCAGGGATTTGGGGGGAGAGGTCTTGAGCAGATCTGTGGGCCCAGGCGGACGTCGGACGGCGGACGTGCTCTGCTTGTCAGCCACGCGCAGAAGGGGGGTGGGGGGAGGGGGGAGGGTTTCTTAGAAGCACCCCTGCGTCTTAGAAGGCGCGGGCCTCATCTTTGGATGTAAGGCCCGCGCCTTCTAAGAGGCAGCCTCCTTCTAAGAAGCCCCCCCCCCCCCCCCCACCCCCTTTGTGCGCGCCGCCAAGCTCGTGTGGGTGCTCCTGCTGCGGCAGCGACAGGCATGGACCCCTAATCGCCCCATGGATCGCCAAGCGGAGCCCGGGGTCCAGTTCCCGCCCAGGAGCCAGCCACCACGGACTCTCCTCGCAGGTTATCGAAGAACTTGCGTTAAGTCGGGCCTGTCCCCCTACAGGGGGATTTTCGACGACAAATAAGAAATACCCCAAATATACACCCAAAAGGTCAAACAATATTCAAAAAATAGTCCCAAGACTATTTTTTGATTTTTTTGATTTTGGGGGGCATTTTTACCTAACAGCTCTTGCTGATAGGTTTCTAGCGGTCTCAAAAGAGAGCAGCAAATGACTCCACAGGGGGGTCGGGGCGGGACCCGGAACGGCTGCCGCCGAAGCCGAAATCGCTTTGGACATCCTCGCAAAATCGCCCTTGGTGCTCCCAGAACTCCACTCCCGGGCCACATTTTGGATGCCCGGAGCCAACTGTAGGCCACTTCGTGCTCTTCGACTTCCCAGAACTCCATTCCCGGGCCACATTTTGGATGCCCGAGCCAACTGTAGGCCACTTCGTGCTCTTCGATTTCCCAGAACTCCATTCCCGGGCCACATTTTGGATGCCCGGAGCCAACTGTAGGCCACTTCGTGCTCTTCAAGTTCCCAGAACTCCATTCCTGGGCATGATTTTGAATGCCCGGAGCCAACTGTAGGCCACTTCGTGTTCTTCTAGTTCCCAGAACTCCATTCCTGGGCCACATTTTGAATGCTGAGGCAGGCTGATGCTGCGGCCGAGGCAGGCTGAGGCTGAGGCAGGCTGAGGCTGAGGCCGAGGCTGAAGGCAGACTGAGGCTGAGGCTGAAGCAGACTGAGGCTGAGGCTGAGGCAGGCTGAGGCTGAGGCTGAAGCAGGCTGATGCTGAGGCAGGCTGATCTGAGGCTGAGGCTGATGCAGGCTGAGGCTGAGGCAGGCTGAGGCTGAGTCCTGTCGCAGGCAGTCGCGCTAAGCAGGGGTCCTGAGCCGGACCCCCCCACCTCTCCCCCCCCTTTTCCGCCCCATGTCGAAACGCCGAATGAGAAAACGTTCGCCATGTTGGTTCATCCCGCGGGAAAACAGGCACGAGGCCGATGCGCACCTTGATCAAAGCCTATAGGTTGAGCGCGCTGCGTGTTGTCTCGGCGCGTGCTGGGTCACGTTTTGGCGCCCGTTTTGTGCCAGAGCTATGTTTACACCATACGGGGGGAGCTCCGCGTCACCACGCTACGGGTTGCGCGTTGCGCACATCGGGGTGCGCTGGGCCTGAATTTTGACAAGCAATGGCGTCTCGAGCTGAAAGGGCTGCTGTTGTGTGGGTGGTGGTGTCGGCGGAACCCCGAAAGGGGCTCGAGCGCGACCTTGCTTTCAAAGGAAGTATGCAGCGGCGCCGAGGTGAGAGCGACAAAACGGACAGACGGTGCCCAACAAAACTCGTTGCGTGGCAATTTGTCCAATCAGCGGCGAAACGTCCTGGCGTGCCAATAGGCGTACCAAGCAGTGGTATAAGGTTTTTGTTTGTGTTTCCACGAAATGTGATTAGAACATTTCTGGCCGAGACTGCCTTGTTTTAACACGCCGGGGATGTGTTCTAAGAACCTCGTTTTTGAGCTTGGAATGTTTTTGGGTTATCATATTGCCTAATGGTAGGCCTATAGGCATGCGTGGACGGTCAGTCCGTGCTCAAATGTTTCAAACCAACAAAAGCTAGGGGAGCCATGGGGCCTGTGGAAGGCGCCCCACAATCCGGCGCGGGTAGCTGCAGGGCGTGTGGGAGACGCCTCCGAGCTTTTTGGCGGCTGGCTTAAGTCGGGCGCGTCCCTTAAGGGGAGGAATATCCCAAAATTCTCCAAGAAGAGTCTGGGGCAAATTTTCTTGATATTTCTTGACAATTAATGATTCGTTTTTGGGTCTGTTTGATATTTCGCCCACGTGTGACAGTCTCGCAGATATGGGGGGGCTGAAAGCCAGGGGCCAAAACGACAGCACCGGTTCCGAGCGAAAATCGTGGAAGGCTCGAGCGGGAGCATCGGCCGGCGCGGTGCAATTGGGGGCGACGAGTGGGGGGGGAAGGAAGGGGCCTTTGTCTGGACCTAGAAGCCCCCTTCTGGACCCAAAAGCGCCCTTTTAAGGTCTCAAAGGCCCCCTTGTTTGCAGCCCTCGACGCCCCCTCATTTACTGTCAAAAACCGAATAAGGACGCGCCACTTTGCTCAGGGTACCCTTGGCGTCCTTGCTTTTCCTTGCTCTTGCGTCCTTGTCCGCCGCCCCAGAAATCTCAACTTCGGCTTCCAAGGGTCTTGCGTTCTTACCTCGCGTCCTTATTACGGTTTTTGATTGTATGCCCCCCCATTCATCGCCGCCCAACGTTGATGTTGTGGAGGTGGGGGGGTCGGCGGAACTTCTTACCGTTTGAGCGGGGCCTCATTTTCTCAAAGGGAACGCAGCCGCCGCCGAGGCGAATCCGCCAAAGTGGACCGGGGGGTCCACCAACGAGAAGGGTTTTGCAATTCAGGGTCAACGCAATTCCATACCAATCGGCACCGCTGAACCCCACTTCAGCCACGCACCACGGGATCTTGTAAGACCAGTCGGTCCCCTCATTCGGACGGTTCTGCAGCGTTTTTACCTAACAGCGAAGACTGATAGGTTTCTAGTGGTCTCCCCAGGGGGGTCTGGGCAGATGCCGGACGGGTGCCGCGGGAATCTGGGGACTCCTTTTTTAGCCAACAGTAACGCAATTCGTGTTCTTCGAGTTCCCAGAACTCCATTCCTGGGCATGATTTTGAATGCCCGGAGCCAACTGTAGGCCACTTCGTGGTCTTCGAGTTCCCATAACTCCATTCCTGGGCATGATTTTGAATGCCCGGAGCCAACTGTAGGCCACTTCGTGGTCTTCGAGTTTCCAGCACTCCATTCCTGCGCATGATTTTGAATGCCCGGAGCCAACTGTAGGTCACTTCGTGTTCTTCGAGTTCCCAGAACTTCATTCCCGGGCCGCATTTTGAATGCTGAGGCAGGCTGATGCTGAGGCTGAGGCAGGCTGAGGCTGAGGCAGGCTGAGGCTGAGGCCGAGGCTGCAGGCAGACTGAGGCTGAGGCTGAAGCAGGCTGAGGCTGAGGCTGAGGCAGGCTGAGGCTGAGGCTGAGGCAGGCTGATGCTGAGGCAGGCTGAGGCTGAGGCTGAGGCTGAGGCTGAGGCTGAGGCTGAGGCTGAGGCTGATGAGGCAGGCTGAGGCTGAGGCTGAAGGCTGAGGCTGAGGCAGGCTGATGCTGAGGCAGGCTGAGGCTGAGGAGGCTGATGCAGGCTGAGGCTGAGGGAGGCTGAGGCCGAGGCTGAAGGCAGACTGAGGCTGAGGCTGAAGCAGGCTGAGGCTGAGGCTGAGGCAGGCTGAGGCTGAGGCTGAGGCTGAGGCAGGCTGATGCTGAGGCAGGCTGAGGCTGAGTCCGAGGCTGTAGGCAGATTGAGGCTGAGGCTGAAGCAGGCTGAGGCTGAGGCAGAGGCAGGCTGAGGCTGAGGCTGAGGCAGGCTGATGCTGAGGCAGGCTGAGGCAGGGAGGCTGAGGCTGAGGCTGAAGGCTGAGGCGAGGCTGAAGGCAGACTGAGGCTGAGTCTGAGGCTGAGGCTGAGGCTGAGGCAGGCTGAGGCTGAGGCTGAGCAGGCTGAGGCAGGCTGAGGCCGAGGCTGAAGAGGCTGAGGCTGACTGAGGCTGAGGCTGAGGCTGAGGCAGGCAGGCTGAGGCTGAGGCTGAGGCTGAGGCTGAGGCTGGCTGAGGCGAGGCTGAGGCAGGCAGGCACTGAGGCTGAGGCTGAAGCAGGCTGAGGCTGAGGCTGAGGCAGGCTGAGGCTGAGGCTGAGGCAGGCTGATGCTGAGGCAGGCTGAGGCTGAGGCTGAGGCTGATGCAGGCTGAGGCTGAGGCAGGCTGAGGCTGAGGCCGAGGCTGAAGGCAGACTGAGGCTGAGGCTGAAGCAGGCTGAGGCTGAGGCTGAGGCAGGCTGAGGCTGAGGCTGAGGCAGGCTGATGCTGAGGCAGGCTGAGGCTGAGGCTGAGGCTGATGCAGGCTGAGGCTGAGGCAGGCTGAGGCTGAGGCCGAGGCTGAAGGCAGAGGCTGAGGCTGAGGCTGAAGCAGGCTGAGGCTGAGGCTGAGGCAGGCTGAGGCTGAGGCTGAGGCAGGCTGAGGCTGAGGAGGCTGAGCAGGCTGAGGCTGAGGCTGAGGCAGGCTGAGGCTGAGGCAGGCTGAGGCTGAGGCTGAGGCAGGCTGAGGCTGAGGCTGTGACTGCGACTGCCGTTGCCACTGCGACTGTCATCGCGAATGCGACTACGACTGCGAGAACAGCAGAATTCTACAACTGGATTCTCATCTGAATCTTACGGGGAATGCTTCCAGATATGCTCCTACACATCGCTGTTAGGTTGCTTTGCCGGGATAATTCTTTGGATGGGGGGAGGGTCGGACGTACCACTGAACAGACGTACCGTGGAGATGGGTGCTCATGGCCCACCCCAGGACTCCGAGGGATCAGGTCATAGCTGCCGCCGTGGTTGGAAGCGTGGCCCGGGCCACGCCTCAGTGCGGGTACGTCCCTACTGGGGGCTTCAGGTCTTCCCCCAGGTGCGTGGTGCTCGTCATCCTTGCACTAATCTGCAGATATCAGGGCAAGGACGGGCGGCACGAAAGAGGGGTGGTGCCCAGGGGGGCCGCCTTCCCCCCCCCTGCTCCGCGAAGACTCCCCCGTTTGTCTTCTGAGAAAGCACGCTTGTGCGCGCCTCCAGAGAGGATCTGTTTGACAAGTTCAAATCGAGCACGATGAGGGAGAGGTCCCTGCAGATGTTCGAGAACTTCGAGGGGCCGCCCGAGGAGCCGAAGAAGATAACCTTGCTGCATTGCACAAACTCCCAGAATTCTGCGCGGATTTGTTGATCGGTAATGGTCCCCCCCAGCGGCGCCTCCGGCGCTGCCTTGGGCTCCAAGAGATCCGAGCGGACCTCTCGAGCGTATCGTGCCGTGCTCACCGAGCGCGCTCCACGGCCCGCAAAGTGCCCACAGGACTCGCAAACGTCACACAGCCACAGGCCTGCCTTGCGGCGCATTCAGGACTCCTCCTCCTCCTCCGCCTCCTCCTCCTCCTCCTCCTCCTCCTCATCATCATCATCATCATCATCATCCTCATCCTCATCCTCATCCTCACCCTCACCCTCCTCCTCCTCCTCCTCCTCCTCCTCCTCCTCCTCCTCCTCCTCCTCCTCCTCCTCCTCCTCCCCCCTCCTTTTTGTCCCACCCCTCCTCCTCCTCCTCCTCCTCCACATCCACCTCCACCTCCATCTCCTCATCATCCGATTCCTCCTCTCCCTCCTCCTGAGAGGAGCTACTTTGTAAGCAGTGGACCGCGCTTATTCAGAAGGGGAACAACACACACACAGACACACTGAAACGTCGACTCCCAGGAAATGTGGGGAACTTTGGGAGATGGAGGGGAAGACGACAGTCCAGAAAGTATGTAAACATGTGTGGAGTCCTAGGATTTATGTCTATTTCTGTGTGCGTGTCCCCGGGCGCCTTCGTATATGCAGAGTCTTGGCCGTCCCGAGGAGTAGCCCGGAGATCCTGGAAAGGTCGACTTTCCTGACCGCGCGCGTTGTTTTCTTTGCTTTGTGTCGTTAGGTAGCTGATGTGCGTCGCGGTGCGGCTGGCTGGCGCCGCCTCGGCGCGGGCGCAGACGCCCAGCCGCCCCTGCTCCGAGGGCTCATAGGCTCCCCCGGGGAGGCGGCAGGAGGGGTGAGGAGGAGTGAGGAGGAGTGAGGAGGAGTGAGGATTAGGAGGAGGAGCTAGGAGGAGGAGGAATGAGGAGCTAGGAGGAGGAGGAGGAGGAGGAGGAGGAGGAGGAGGAGGAGGAGCTAGGGGGAGGGAGGAGGAGGAGGAGGAGGAGGAGGAGGAGGAGGGGAGGAGGAGGAGCTAGGGGGAGGAGGAGGAGGAGGAGGAGGAGGAGGAGGAGGAGGAGGAGGAGGAGCTAGGAGGAGGAGGAGGAGGAGGAGGAGGAGGAGGAGGAGGAGGAGGAGGAGGAGTAGGGGAGGAGGAGGAGGAGGAGGAGGAGGAGGAGGAGGAGGAGGAGGAGGAGGAGGAGGAGTGAAGCGCGACGTGGCAGAGCGATGGAGTCGAGGGGCCGCATGCGCTCCTTGCTTGCATCCCTTTGGCACGAGCGCGCGGCCTACAGCGAGGCATGCTGGGGCTAAGGAAAGCTGTCCAGAGCTTAGGAGGGCCCTGGAAACGACAGGGCCGTTTTTGTTTCCGCTTCCGTTTTGCCGGTTCCGACGCCGGTTTTTGTTACCGGTTCCGTCGCCGTTGTTTGACTTGCTCCGACGCCGCTATTTTACCGGTTCCGTTTTGCCGTTTCTGTTGCCGGTTCCGACGCCGTTTTTGTTGCCGTTTCCGGTCGCCGTTGGTTTGCCGTTTCCAGTTTCAACGGACATTTTTTGGGGAGACGGTGGAAAAACGGCCCTGCCGCTTCCGGGGCCCACAAAGTTCTAGGCCTCCTGGATGGGGTCGGAGTAGATGGGATCGGAGGATCGCGCCGCATCGCCGACGCATCGGCGATGCGGCTCGATGCGGAGCCCGATTTTCCTCCCGTCGACGTCGCCGATGCATCGCCGGTGCGTCGCCGGTGCGTCGCCGGTGCATCGCCGATGCATCGCCGATGCATCGCCGATGCGGCGCGATCCAGGGGCCCACAGAGGTCCATAGCGCGCCGGGGACGCGACGCAACTCCTGCACGGAGGAGGAGGAGGAGGAGGAGGAGGAGGAGGAGGAGGAGGAGTGAGGAGGAGTGAGGATTAGGAGGAGGAGGAGGAAGAGGAGGAATGATGAGCTAGGAGGAGTGAGGAGCTAGGAGGAGGAGGAAGAGGAGGAGGAGGAGGAGGAGGAGGAGGAGTGAAGCGCGACGCAACTCCTGCACGGGCGAGGAGATGTTACCTACCAGCCCTCCCAGCAGGAGGAGCAGCAGGAGGCGGCAGAGCTTCAGAGGCTTGGGGTGCCAGGGGCACCAGTGCTGCGATCCCCCGGCGAAGCACGCCACGTTCGAGGACTGCTTTGACGACGATGTTTTAAACCTTTAGCCAAGTGATTGGCCACAGTGAATTTGGTTTCGCCAATTTCTGACAGCCCTGGCCAAAGGTATAAGTTGAAGAACGAACAGAGGATGCACGACTGCTTCCCCTGAGATTTCGCAGGAGAGGCTATTTTCAGGCTGGGGCAAGGTTTTCGGGTTCCAACGAAGATGAGGCAAGAAGACAGAGGTAGACGACCACGACAACCTGCAAATAGCTGGGCTGCAACCGCATAACGACCTCCGTCGCCCGAGCTTTAACGCCATCCATGTCTGCGGCCGCAGGAAGAGGGTGGGCGACACCCAGTTTTACCTGGAAAGAACGCAAGCAAGGGACCACGCCAACATCTACATGCTCAACGTCGACATCATCGACGGCGAGGAGGGAGACGTTGGCATCCCCGAGGTGCGAGTTTTCTGGTGCACATCAGCATGCCAAGACAGACTGGTGGCCTGGCTTGCTGGACCACCATGCGAGACGTCGTCCACGGCACGCTTCAACAGACTAGAAGACTAGAAGGCGTCAGCAAGCTGCCTCGCCCAGTTCGCAGCGCAAACACGCCCTGGGCACTCGTGAAGGAAAGTCTGCAGGTGGGCACCCTACTGCTCCGCTTGACGCTCCGATTGGTGCAGATCAGCACCCAGTCGGGCACCGTGGGCATTTTCGGCCTCCCAAACATCCTGACCTGGCGCGCGCAGGCACCTCGCATCCGGTGGCTGCCCGAACAGAACGCGGCGGAAGCAAAGGAGAAGGCAGAGCACGTGCCACTCCGCCAGGGCACGCTGGGTGCCGAGAGCACGAAGCCCTCGAGGCTGTTCATCGCGAGCGCCAGCCGCACACAACACACCTCATCGAGCAGCTCCCCGACCGAGGACGCCGCGGCCACGGCGGAGGAGCTCCCCAGCAGCCATTCGGGGAGGACCCAGCACATGGACGCGTTCGCACGCCGGGGCCGAAGAGCACCGGGTACGCAGGAGCCACCTTCTCACCGGGGGCCTCCAGCAACGCATCGACGCCCAGGGTTCCGGCGCGCCAGGAGAAACCCGAGCTTGCCGATTGAGGTTGGGCCTTCTCGCGAATTTGGAGGACGAGACGCTGGCAGGGCCTCCGCGCAGCCCACGAGGGAGCGGCGGGGGGCCCCTGGCCCCGATGCCCTCCAAGGAGCGGGCGGCGGCGGCGGCGGCAGCGGCGCCCCCCCGCCGCGGCAGGAGGGGCCCAGAGGTGCGGGGCAAGTGGTGTTCTCGCTGGGCTAGTTTCCCATCTCTCGCTGCGGCCCGCTCGAAGCGAAGGTGCTACACGAAACGGAACGGGGATCAGCGGGCTTGGAGGACATGGAGAGGGAAGTGGGATCGGGGAGGGGCCGGGTGTCATGGGATCATGGGGGCGGAGGGTGAGGTCGGGGAAAAGAGAAGAGGAGGAGGACGGAGGAGGAGGAGGAGGAGGAGGAGGAGGAGGAAGAGGATGAGAAGAAAGAGTCGAGACTTCGAAGGACTTGCAGTAATAGAAGTGCACCTGTCCCAAAGTGTTCTTAGGTCTTAGGATATCCAAGGAGGCCCCCACAGCATCCAGAGCACCGTTTCGCCAGGCCCAGAGGGCCCCAGAGGCTCCAAAGTGGAGCGAACTGCTTGTGGCACCTTTGTCCAGGGGCGCCTTGAGCAATCCCCGGCCCTCGTTTCCGACCCGCTCTCCTTCCGAGGGGCGGCGCCATCGGCTCCCGTGCTCCCCTTAAGTCAGGCATGTCCCTCTGCATGGGGAACTCTCCGAAGGAGTACACAGAAAAGTGTGGGGACGATGTGTTCATTCTGTTTTTGTCTCTCCGGCATTTCTCAGACTGTTTTGCATTATTCCTCCAAGCTCCGCCTGTAGGAGGGCATGCCCGACCTGAGGCCCCCCTCCCCCCGGGGCGCTGCCCGGGGAGGGGCCTGGGCGCTCTCGCCGCGTGAATTCGCCGGTGGAGTAAACGCTCGCGGGTGCGGCGGCCCCCCCCACTGCGGAGGCGGCGAGAAAGGGGCGAGTCGCCCAGGGGCGGGCGTGCCACGCATTCGCCCACACAGGGTCGCCGAAGGCTTGAGCCATCGGCGCCCCTGGACTTACGTCGGGCACGTCCGTCTACAGGATGAAGCTTCAAACTTAGCTCCGAACATTTTGAATGTGGGGACGATGTTTTCCAGTACTTTTTAAAACTAGTATTGAGCAGTGTTCGACTATTTTTCATTTGTCCTCAAAAATCCGCCTGTAGGAGGACATGCCCGACTGAACCCTGGAGACACGTATCGCTCCCCCCTGGCTATTCGCCCCCAGCGTCGCCCCCTGACGCGCGCGGGGCGACGATAAGTGGGGTCAGGAGGGGCAACTTCCCCAGATCCGGGCGTTGCCATTTTTGTTCGCTCTGGCGGGCGTTGCGTAATTGTGAGAGCCACATATTGGGGGCGAAGAGAGGTGCACCATGGCACGAAAAGGTGTCGGGGTAGGCTTCTCCCCCACCAGCGATCGTCTCCTCCATCAATCAACGCCCGGCAGTAAGCGTTTTCGAAATGGATCCGGGCCCAGGACTATCACTGACCATTCCAGCTCGAAAATGCTGGAGGAAAACAGGGTCTAGGGCTCGATTCTGTCGCGATGTCAGATTTGTCTTGCAACGCCGTACGTTTTCGTTTGGTTTAGGGTTTTTCCATACGTTTTCGTTGGTTCTTGTCGTTTTCTTGCCTTT